GTTTCCGTGCTGTAACCCGGCCTGAAGCCCGACTGGAGGGGGTCCAGATAGACTGTTTCCTCCAGGTGCCGAGGAAACTGCTGTGCAACCACACTCTCAACAACCTTCGCCACAAAGCGGAGGTTGGAGACTGGGCGATAGTTAGCCAATACATCTGGGTTCAAGGAAGGCTTCTTAAGAAGGGGCCTCACCACCGCCTTTTGGACAAAGAGATAGCAACACATGTCTTAGATACATCAGGGTTGGATTACTGTAAAAAAACCCTCCTCATTGGGTTACCTTTCAAAAACCTCTTCAGAAGCTGCAGTTCTTTGAGAATGTTGCTGCCAGGAAAATATGGGGCATATTCTTGCATTGTTGCACTAGCTGCCAATATGTTTGGTCCAGAATATTTAGTGTTTCCTTCTATACCAGAAGTGGGAGGACTTGTGCCTTTCCAGTTGTTACTGATTTATATTTATGCTGGTGGGGAATTCTGGGAGATGAAGTCCACATATCATAAAGTTGCCAATGTTGAGATACACTGTCCTAGAACCTACCATGTAGAATGGAAATGGTGACGAAATTAGAGCATTTTTTGGTGTTTGTACCAGTATAGTGTGACATTGCACCTGGTGAAACACTGGTGGTCTGGCCTATGATTATGTTTTGCCCCTAGTGAATATAGTGTTGTTCCAATAGGCTTCATTTGATCTGTTGTGCTAAAGATAGTTGTTGTGTGTTTTTATAATTTACTGTATTACATTATTGTACATTTGTATTGTTATTTTTCCTCCCTAAAATATTTCAGTTTGTTTTTTAATTAAACTGTACACCTTATATGTTAGATTAAAGATGGAAAAAATTCTGAAGTGATTTATCTTGGTCTGATTTTTTTACAGCTCAAAAACTAGCAATTTTAATGGCTGTGTAGACTTTCTATATCCAGTGTATCTATGAGCAGTGCTTGCTATTATCTGTATCAGTGTTTTTCAACCTTGTCAACTTTAAGATGTGGACTTCAACTTCCAGAATTCCCCAGAGAACAATTTTAAAGTTGCTAAGGTTGAGAAACACTAGTCTACGTTGCAAGGGCAATGGAAAGCTGGAATCATTAACCCTGAGTGTTTGAATATCAGCTAAATTATTTCTCAACTGCAGAATCTGTTGTACGGTAACCATAATGTCACTTTAAATAAGGTATACCATTTAAATAAGGCATACTCTGTTCTGTAAACTGATATATAATTCTGCAGAAGTTTCAAAATTTGTGACATTTTGTATGATTTCCTGAATTATATATTTTTCTCCCTTTTCCTTAACAGATGCTGAAGTACTTTGCAGCATTTGAAGTATTTTTTGAGGAAAACCTGCCTAAACTGTTTCATCATTTTAAATCCTATAATCTTACCCCAGACATATACTTGATAGATTGGTACGTTGGAAACTTAATGGTCACATCATACCCCAGTGATAAACTTTCAGGTGAAGTTAAATATAAGCCAGATTTTAACAGGCATTCTAGGATTCCTTGGGATTGGTTAAGGGTATCTGGTTAGGAGAACAGAAGTGACTGTAACATGTATGCGTAAAGCACAGAGGAGTAAACAAGAGAATGGGATTTAATAGTAGATGACTTATAGAAGTTTATCCCATGATTTTAACCTTCAGTTCCTTATTAGAACAAAAATAGTTTTCTCCCTGGCCAAATAAAGTTGGTAAATATGAGAGAAGGAGAATAAACGATGGCGTTTCACCTAAATAGCTTCAGAGATAAATTTTGCCACTTAAAAAACATTCCCGGATTGAACACCTCCGAGAAAAATCTGCTTCTTTAATATTATGTGTTCACATTCTGCTGTCCCCATGAACTACTACTGTGGCACCAAATACAGCAGGCAGGTTTTTTAAATGCAGTACTGAAATCTAATCAATGGATACAATGGTTTTTTATCTAAATATAACTACACATCCACATTAAATTGGCTTTTCTTTTTGAAGTCTTAGGGTCAGTATTGACTTTAGGCAACTGGACAAGTCCCTGCAGTTTTCTTGGCAAGATTTCAGAAATAGTTTGCCAGGGTCTTCTTCCTAGAGACTGACCCACAGTCACTCAGTTGGCTTTGTGCTGATGGCAGGACTAGAACGAACTATCTCCTGGTTTCTAGCCTGGTGTCTTAACTGCTACACCAAACTGGCTTTCTAATCTTCATATTACAGCTCTTCACTTGGAATGTTGGAGGTACACTTGGAATGTTGGAGAGATAGTTGTTGCAAATGAAATGTCTACTGGTGCTTCGTTCCTTAACCCAAGGCATGATTGCTTATCTAGATTAAATAATCACTGATCGTACTAGAGAGCAGGGGTCTTCAAACTTGGCCCTTTTATGACTTGTGGACTTCAGCTCCCAGAATTCCTCAGCCAGCGTGCCTGGCTGAGGAATTCTGGGAGTTGAAGTCCACAAGTCATAAAAGGGCCAAGTTTGAAGACTCCTATACTAGAGAATTAGAGGATGTGGTGTTTTTCCTTTATGTGCCTGATTCTTTTTAATTTCAAAATGCAGGATCTTCACCCTGTACAGCAAGTCACTACCCCTTGATTTGGCCTGTCGAGTTTGGGATGTCTTTTGTAGAGATGGAGAAGAATTTTTGTTCAGAACTGGGTTAGGAATCCTTAGGTTATATGAAGATATTCTCCTGCAGATGGACTTTATTCATATAGCACAGTTTCTAACAAAGCTACCAGAAGATATCACGTCAGAAAAGCTCTTCTCATGCATTACATCTATTCAGATGCAGAATAGTAACAAGAAATGGGCTCAGGTAAGTACTAACTATATGTGGATGTTTAATTTTGTTGGAAAGGAACTCTCAGTTTAAAAGAGAAGTGCAACCACAAGCAGAGATAAAGATTAACCTTGTCCAGGAAAATAAGGCTTTACTTGCTGCTGAATGAAGGTGGTTGCCTTAGGACAGGTGTAGGCAACCTTGGCTCTTTTATGACTCGTGGACTTCAACTCCCAGAATTCCAGAGCCAGCCAAGCTGGCTCAGGAATTCTGGGAGTTGAAGTCCACAAGTCATAAAAGAGCTAAGGTTGCCTACCCCTGCCTTAGGAATAGCATTCTTGCAATGGACACCACACTATCAAAGCCTTGACCTCTCTAGCCACCTGCCGCATACAGGTAGTCTTGATGTAACAACTACAGCTTGGACCAGAATTTCCGTTGCTAAGCAGGGCAATTGTTAAGTGAGTCACAGCCAATTTTATGACTTTGTTTGCCATGGTTAAGTGAACCATGCAGTCATTAAGAGAATCCAGCTTCCCCCATTGACTTTGCTTGTCAGGAGCCAATTGGGAAGGTCACACATGGTGATAACCCTGGCTTGCTGCAATCATTGTAAATACTTACCAGTTTCCAGGTGCTCAAATTTTGATCACTTGTCTGTGGGAATGGTGTAGTGGTCGTAAGTGTGAGAACTGGTTTTAAGTAACTTTTTTTCAGTGCCATTGTGTGTGTGTGTGTGTGTGTGTGTGTGTGAGTTCCTTGATCTATGATGTAAAAGCTATTTGGCTCTCCATTTATAATGAATGATTATAGAACTGATATTGAACTATTGAAAAATAGAGGTAGGGGAATGATGGAAAGTAAATGGTTATGATCCTGATAGATGAGAAAACCTGCAAAAATGGCTAGTATTTATAAATGTTAAAAAGGAGTTAAGCTGTGCCCATTTTTAAGTTTTATTTTAAAAACTGGTTTTCAGGTGTTTGCCTCATTAATGAAGGATAGCAAAGAAGGAGACAGGAACCATAGTCCAGCACTAAAAAGTTAACTTCCAAGTTCAATTGGAAAAACCACTTGGTTGTGAAAGAATTCTTCTAAACATCTTCTCAGTGAAAACCACTAAAAACGGCTTCAGAGACTGAAGAAGAAACAGTATTGACTGAACGCAGTGGTGGAATTTGACGGTTCTTATCCTGCTGCCAGTATTAAAGACCTCTTTTGTGGGAAGATACCTTTTCACAGGAAGCAGAACAATAAAGTATGAAACTGAGAAAGTGGCTATCGCATATTTAATATTTAAAGTTGAACGCAATAACATTTGTAATAACTTTTGTTGGTACTTAAAATTTTGAGGGATACCTTTTTTATGATTACCACAAAGGCACTTTTGGGGGCAGAGCTGGTGTTTTAAAGTAAGGCCCCAGAAACTGCTACCTGAACCAAACGTTTTGGTACAAATACCTCCAAAATTACAGATGAAGTCCTTAGGACCAAATCAGGCTTTAGTTTTGGTGTACATGCTTGCCCAGGAACAGGAGGCTTTTACGGGCGTCTTACAAAACTCCTTTTAAACTGCAGTTTCGCTTTCCAAATAAGTGAATGCATGTAAGCGAATACAGAGGAAACTGCATGCAATTTTGCTATGGAGCCATTGGCAAATAAGTCTTTTGGCTGAAAGGTGGCAGTAACTGTGGGCTTATGCAGCCAAGGGGGGTGTTCAGCGTTTTACATTTTGAAGTACTTTGCTTACAGGAAAATTGGTTTCTAATCCATAAAAAATCATATGAATTTTTTTTAATCAAAGTGACTTATACTTGATAAACACTAGTATAATTAATAAGCTAGTGATAACCCTTTTGCACATTTTACGCAATGTTAATGTTGAAAGTTTTGAGTCCCTGTATATTAAAAGTGTTTTTCTCATTTAAATTTAAAGTTGATTACTGCAGTGTGTACAATAATGAGTACCCAAAACGCATCTTGTTAGTCCATACCCTCTCTTTTAATGTCAGCATCGATACTGTAAAGACAACATGCGGAAGGTCGAACTTCCTTCACACTCCAAAACGTTTTAAAATGGCTTTTGAACTGAGAGGAATGGGAAAGGATACCTCTTAATTTCTCCGAGCAGCTAATGCTTGTTCTTTCTAAGTCCGTTTTGATAGTATTAATGTAAATAAAATTGCCTTTCTTTTTTTCTTTGTACCGGTCCCTGTATGTGCAAATAAAGTCAAATTTATCATTGCATTAAAAAAATAATAAGTGAGACTGCTTCAGTTGTCAAGTGTTGCAGAGCCTATTTTAAAGATTTGGTTACAGTATATTGTAATATTTATGTTGCTATCAGATGTAAACCACACTTCAATATTACTTATTACAACATTCAAGTTGAAGTTCAAATGTCTGCTTTTTTTTCTTATGTATTTACTTGCTTCCGGTATATGTCCTTTACTTGGGTTCTCTTGTACAGTTTTCTTACTTTTCAAGTACAGTATACACATGTATATAAATTGTAAATAGAAGGAATTTAGCCTTCATTCAAAACTACTAGTAACAATTCCTGTGTAAATAAACTTGTAAGCAGAATGAATACTGTCTTCATATCAGTTTGTTCAGCCTTCATATGTAAAGGAAAATCTTCTGTAGCTTCCCCAATGATCTGCTTCAGTAGTCCAGATATGAGCACTAAAGTCTTTTTTTCAAAGTTAGGCTTTTAATGAAAGGTTATGGTTTGTATCTTCTCAAAGAATCACCACTGACTGTCACACCTATGTATTCAAAGGGCTGGGGATCCTGTGACTCCGTACAGGTTGCTGAACTACAGCCACTGGCCATACTGGTTGAGGCAGTGGGAGTTGTGATTCAGCAGCATCCTCACATATAATCCCCTTTCCTTTGTAAATGAAACAGAGCTAGGATAGAAGAATTCAGAATACCAATCTTAGCTGTCCTTGAAGCTGATTGCAAACCTAAGGGATGGAGAACAATTGACTGGCATATTTGCAATGCTCTTATCACAGTAAATGAACAGAAGTTCCTACATCAGTAGATGCAGTCTTCCGTTTTTATCCCATGGTTGTCATTTTGCACCATCAAACGATAGCACTACAATTTGCTTCTTAGACAAGGCAGCATTAACAGAGCTACTTCAGTGATGGGCGCAAATTATTCAGTTTGATGCAAGGGAATAGTGCCCAAAGTATTGTTATCCTTCCCCTGAGTCTGAAATCAACCTTTATCGCTGCATGTCAGCATAATGAAGCAAAAAGGTTTACTTCTTTTAAACAGTACACTGTATTTTAGAGCAGGGGTGTCAAACTGCCGGCCAGAGGCCAACTGCATCATATGGAGGCTGCGCCCACCCCAGATCCGGCAATGCAAAAAAAGTCACGATATGTTGTGACACGTCACGTGACGCGGCGAGTTTGACACACATTTTAGAGAATTGTAAGTCGAGGACTACCTGTATTGTCTGAGCTGTGCTACGCTTCTATTTATTTTTCTGGGCAAGCTCAGTAATTGTGCGTATGTCAGCCTCTTTTGCACATCTCAGATTGTGCATGAGGAAATAATTTCTCTCTCAGAGCTTCTGTGATTTGGAGCAATAATTTGATTCCCTGCTTCTATGGCTTTACAGCAAGTGCTTTTTTATTTGTAGCCGACCAGGACCAGTTAGTTATAAGATGGATGGCTAAACAGGTAATCCTCAACTTAGGACAACAGAGCCCCAAATTTCTATTGCTAAGTGAGATATTAAGTGTGTTTTGCCCCATTTTATAGTCTTGCCACAGTTGCTAAGTGAATCACCGCAGTTGGTAAGTTACTAACATGGTCGTTAAGTGAATCTGGCTTCCCCGTTGACTTTGCTTGTCAGAAAGTCACAAAAGTAATCACATGACCCTGGGTCACTGCAACAGTCATAAATATGAATCAGTTTCCAAGCATCTGAATTTTGATCACGTGACTGTGGGGACACTGCAACAATCATGAGTGTAAAAAATTGTCAAGTCACTTTTTTTAGTGCTATTGTAACTTTGAACAGACACTAAATGAACTGTTGTAAGTAGAGGACTATCTGTATAAGGAGTTTAATTGGTATTTTTTGGGAAGGAAGCTAAACATAGATAGTCCTTGCTTAACAACAGTTAACTGTTGTCGATAAATGGTTGTTGCAAATAAATAAATTGAGGCCTACCTAAAGATTTTACATAAGATTTTACATAAATCTTGTAGTCTGCCTGAAGCACTTGATCACCTTTGATGATTCCCCTTTCAGAGTTGTTCATCTTGAGCAGCTGTGTATTTACCTTGGTTAGCACAGGCTGGCATTTTGAGACTTAAACGTTTCAAAAATTACTATTTTTTTCTCTTTGATTTTCTCTCTCGTGAGATTGGCCTCCAGAAAAGGGCTGAAGGAGATGGCACTCCAGGTCTATTCTGATTGATTGATTGATTAAGGATTTTCCTCCTTCATTTTTATATTTTAATTGCCCAAAAGGGAGCGTCTGGTCGTGCCACGCCACGATCCCAAGGCAGGAGTTGAGACCGGGATGGGAAGAGCCAAAGGCTTCTCAGGCCCCCAGCTTTCCACCCCATGGACTCGGCTGAGTAATCGGCTGCAATGCTGCTTCTGGACCGACTCCCGCCGCTCGTCACTCCCGGTGTCTTCGCAGGCTCTGGAGCTGACTTCGGTTCCTCCTCTCCGGCAGAGGGTGTTGTGGACAGGGCGGCATTTCCGGCCTGACTAGCGCCAAGATCCCACTTCCGCTGCTTCTCGCGTGCCTGAATTGAAGTGCTGAGAGAAACGAGGCAGAGCGTTTGCCCTGCTTGGCAGCTGCTATGAAACCGGTAAGAGTACGAGGACTCGCTGCCGGGATAAATAGCGTGGCCTGCGCCCAGTTGGAAGTCGGGGGAAGGGGGTAGGCCGTGACAGCGGGGGCGTAGCCCTGAGAGCCAAGTGCTGTGCGCGAGTTCTCGGGGGTTTAAGTAAAGCGCCCTACTTGCTTAGCTGGACTTCCCTTCCCAGAATCCTTAGAGGGCCTGCAGACGCAACGATTTATGGGAATGAGAGTCCAGGGGCACTCTTGAGGGCACAAGATTGGGGGAAAAGAAGAATAGAAATGGGCTGGAGTTTGGTTTTAAGCGGTTGTACACGTTGGATAGGAAGATATTTTCTAACGATTGGTTGAGGGGGGTTTTTTTGGGGAGGGGAATGTAGAGGGAGGTGTGAATAATAGGCATTCTGATGGAACCTGGGTGGGATGCATTAAAAATATAGAACTCCTTTTCTTGCTTTTTATCAGTTAAAGTGACTTGCTTCAAAAATATTAAATGGGTATTTTATTAAAAAAAAATAAAATAACCACAGGATAAACATATGGATGTGGTAGTGTTTGTCAACATTAGCAACTTTAAAATTTGCGGACTTCATCTCCCAGAATTCTCCAGGCAGCCATTCCCTGTGCTGGCTGGGGAATTCTGGCAGATGAAGTCCACACATCTTAAAGTTGCCAAGGTTGACAAACACTGGGCTATGGTATTTGCTACACAGGCAGGGGATTTCATTTCATTGCCACAAAAGTGTCCTTATGCATGCCAGTGCTGGAAAACCTCGGGGGAACACCCACAAGTTAACCCCATATTTTAATTTTTAGGGTAATAAAAGGGAATATTTTTTGTATGCACGATGAATAATCTTTTTAACTGCGGGTGGTTAATTCAATGTAATCTTAATTCAAATTAAGCCCAACCCACATTTTATTCCACTTACTTATAGAGTGCAACCTTCGTCACTCCAAGACCAAGGGTAAATTTCAGTTCAAAAAGAATTTAATAACCCTGTGTCAATAGAACATTTTTAAAATACTACATTGCAGAATCCTCTATAGGAGGCAGTCTCCAAAACATACAACAGAAAGTTGGAAATAAACTTTACCTTTTTTCCTTCACAGTTTTTTCCTTTCTTTTCACTTATATTGGATAATTGCACTGCTAAAAATTATTTTTAGTATAATATTAACTTAGTATTGCTATTGAATTGATCTTATTGTTTCAAAACTCTGTGCCAATGTGTTGCAGTGAATAAGATGTCAGCCTAGAAGCTGGTTCATAGCCATAGAAGTAGTGAGGAACTCTACAGAATTATTGTTGGGAAACTCAGATAAATAAAGAAAAGCAAGATAGAAATCTAACAAATAATTGGTTATACATATTCCTTAATGTTTCAAGACTTGAATTAAAATATAAAAAGTAACAAATCGGTTTAAAAAGCATACTAATTTGATCCTTATTGTCTCCAGAGGAGAAATAAAAAAAGAGTTCCAAGTTTTCGAAAAATATTGAAAACAAGTAAAATAAAACTTGAAAACAAGTTAAAAAACAAGCAGCTCAAACAGCAAAGTGCTGTCAAAAAATACCGAAAAGAACAAAGGAAACTCAGACAAGCTGTAAAAGATGCTGTATCTCGGAGGCCGGTGCCTTTGGAAGATCACAAAAAACCTCCAAGTAAGATATTTGTGTGTGTATGTGTGTGTGTCTATAGAAATATTGTTAAATGTCACTATATTATTGACTCTAAGGATTGTTTAATAAGATTGTTGATTAACATAGGAATGGGCTATTTGCAGACTATTTGATCCCTAGAAGCTTTTACGTCACCTACAAAGAGGCAACTTGAGGGCATCTCTGTAGGTGACATAAAAGCTTCTAGGGATCAAATAACATGCAAATAGCACATTTCTGTCCCAAAGGTGCTCTTCAGTTCAGGACTGAAGAAGCCTTTTAGATGAGAATGAAACATTTTCAAGGAAAAAACCTGAGAAAGTTCAATTGCCTTTTGAAAAAGCATCTTTGGGACAATCATGATGCTTGAGAATCTCCACAGACATTTAGCCTACTCCTATCTTAATAGGATCTTAGTATAGATTATAAAAGAGAAGTCCCTGCTTCTGTAAAACAGGGGTGTCAAACTGGCGGCCTGGATGCGTCACACGCAGGCCACGCCCACCCCAGCTCCGCAAAGGCAAAAAACATTGCAATACATCACAATACATCATGTGTCACGATCAATTTTGACATCTGTGCTCTAGAGGATGGTAGCTTGAAGAAAATCCAAATCAAAGTAGAATAAATCAAGTTTAATTTTGTCTGGGATAATTGTGCTTTATAGATTTAACAACCTGCAAATTTAACACAAAAAAGAATCTATTATTGATACTTATTTCTCATTTTCCTGTAAAACATGAATCTTATTGTTGAATTATTTGTTCATGATCTCAGGGAGGTATACAAATGGAAAATCAATATATTTTCACTTATCTATAGCAGACTTACATACGTCTATTTCTGTATCTCTGATTTTTTTTCACTTGTCTCAACAGAGAGGATGGAGAAAGTGGAAGAGGAAGAGGAAGAAGCACTCCCTCTAGATATGATGGATGAAGATGATATGAAATTAATGAAAGAGTTTGCTCAAACAGCATCTTTTATAACAAGGGACTTGTCTTCCAAGTGGGTGTTGGCAAATCCAAAACTTTGAACTATAGAAAACCTTTCAGTAATTTCTTCTTTATCAAACTTTCATTTCA